CATCTGCATCTCATATACGGAAAGGTATACGGGGGATGGGTGTTACACACTTGGTCCTGATGTTTATAAAAGAGTTTCTTCTTGTTTAAATGCCAAATAGCTTTGGAATAAACTCGAGGAAATTCATGGAAACAAGAAAGAAGAACCAACAAAGGCGGTGCGTTTAACGGTTCTTGAAGAGATCGAGGTATCTTCTAACTCTAGTGAATCTAATTCATATTCGTTTAATGAGTTACAAGTTGCCTCTGATGAGTTGTATTCGGAATTTGAGACCATGAATTCCAAATATAAGAAATGAATTTCAAAATTTAAAGTTGAAAATGATTTGATTTTGAAAAACAAAATGAAACTTTGAAAAATGATTTACATCTTTCAAAAAGAAAAATCAATGATTTAGAAAAAGAAATTTTTTGATTTAAAAGTTAAGTTGAAAGCTTAACAAAAGAAAAATAATTAATTTCAAGAAACTACTCATTATGTTTAAAAATGGCAAAATGCTCACATTGTCATTTTCATGGTCATTTGGAACATACTTGTCCTTTAAAGAAAGGAAAACGTTTTAAAATAAAAACATGTATGGGTTCCAAAAGGAACAAGGGGCATTGAAACTAATGTTCAAGGATCCAAAGCAATTTGGTCATAATGAATTTTGGTCAAAATTGGTTTTAATGCTTTTTTTTACAAATTTTAATTTTTGACCTAAATTTAAATGTTTATGCATGTTATTTATTGCAAATAATATATCTAACAATTTATTAAAATTTTCAAATGCATAACATTTTTTGATAGCTTTATGCATGCAGGTGCACTTAGAATACATCATTTGGTATTGCATAAAGTATATTAGACTTGAATATATTGAATTTCATGTGCTACTAACATGTTTGTTCATCTTTGTTGAAATTTATTTTTTTTAAGTGTTAAGCTTTTAGAGTCAAACTTTTGTTTGAAATGCATTTATTGAGGGGGAGCTTTGATTTCAAATGATTTTATGCTAAAATTCTTACTTACTCTCCATTGTTATTTTTTAAACCTTACAGTTGAAGTATTTTTGATATAACAAAAAGTGGGAGAAGTATAGGTTTGAAAATTTCAATTTCTCAATGGAAAAGGGGGAGCTTTAATATTTTCCAAATATTTCTCTTTTTCATGAAATATTTTATTAAGAGGGAATTTTGCACACAAAAAAACAATATTTTAAATGTTTTGTTATATCAAAAAGGTGGAGATTGTTGAACTATGTTTTATAATATTTTGATATAACAAATTAAGGAAAAATGTTTTTTGGACTTGATTGAATTTGTTCAAAGTTTTTCAAAAATAATTCAAAGTCCATTAAACTAGAATTTGAGCACAAAACATTTTTCTGAGTACGTTTAATGGCTCTTGAAGAGCCCGAGGTATCTTCTAACTCTAGTGAATCTAATTCATTTTCTTTTAATGAGTTACAAGATGCCTATGATGAACTATATTTGGAATTTAGGACCATGAATTCCAAATATAAGAAATTGATTTCAAGATCCAAAGTTGAAAATGATTTTCTCTTGAAAGCTAAATTGGATTTTGAAAAGCAAAATGAAACTTTGAAAAATGATTTTGAGCTTTCAAAAACCAAAATTGAAGATTTGGAAGAAGAAAAAATCTTGAATTGAAAGTTAAGCTTGATTGTTTAACAAAAGAAAAAGAAATCATTTCTAAAAACAATTCATCTATGTTAATGTCAAAATGCTCACATTGCCATTTTCATGGTCACAATGTACATACTTGTCCTATAAAGAAAAGAAAATCTTTTAAAATTAGACAAGTATGAGTTCCTTTGGGAACTAGAGACATTGGTACTAACATTCTAGGACCCAAAGCAATTTGGGTACCAAAATCCAAATGAATGTCTCTTGTAGGTGTGTTGGAGAAATGATGATAAAGATATATGATTTCAAATGCTCTAGCCACACTTGATATGGAATGGGTAACCTCTAAGCTCAATGTTTTTGTTTTGATTAATTGGTTGCCTATTTGTTTTAAGCATGCATGAGTTTTTATTTTAAATAATTTTATGTTTTTTATCTCATGTATGTTAAAAAGAATTGTGATAAACATTTTCTAAAGTTTTAATGGTTTTTCATAAATATTTGTTCATCATAATGAATTTTGGTCAAAATTGGTTTTAATGCTTTGTTTTTATAAATTTTAATTTTTGAACTTAATTTAAATGTTTATGCATTTAATTTATTGTAAATGATATCTCTTTAACAATTGATATCAATTGTTTTTAAATGCATAATATTTTTGGATAACTTTATGCACATGCACTTAAATACAACATTTGATATTGCATAAAGTATAGGCTTGGATATATTGAATTTCATGTGCTACTAACTTGTTTGTTCATCTTTGATGAAATTCAATTTTATTTTAAGTGTCAAGCTTTTAAAGATAATTTTTTGTTTGGAATACTTTTATTGAGGGGAGCTTTTGATTTTTCAAATGATTTTAATGTTAAAATTACTACTTACTCTCCATTGTTGTTTTGTACCTTAAAAGTTTGAATTATTTTTTATATAACAAAAAGGGGGAGAAGTATAGGTTTGAAAAATTCAATTTCTCAATGAAAAAGGGGGAGCTTTAATATTTTCCAAATATCTATCATTTTTCATGAAATGTTTTATTAAGGGGGAGTTTTGCCAAAACAATTTGTCAAATGTTTTGTAATATCAATAAAGGGGAAATTGTTGAACCATGTTTTATAATGTTTTGATATAAAAAAAATTAATGCAAAATGTTTTTTTGGACTTGATTGAATTTGTTCAAAGTTTTTCAAAAATAATTCAAAGTTCATTAAACTAGAATTTGAGCACAAAACGTTTTTCTAGGTATGTAGTACAGATACTGTTCTTACAGTATCAATACTACATGAACAATATATATACTATTCATGTGGTACCGATACCAAAAGGTAAGAGAAGTATCGATACTCTCTAAGGTAGTATCGATACTACCAGTTGTTTTTCAAATTGCTCAAATTCCAGAATGCAAAATAGGTACCGATACCCAAAGGGGTACCAATACTACTTTACAAAGTGGTATCGGTACCATGAGCATAGTATCGATATTGGTCAAGCCCAACAGTATTTAACGACTTTTTTATTTAAATATAACAAAAGAAGTACCGATACTCATTAAAGGAGTATTGATACTCCCTATCCTGAGCAGTTTTATTTTGCAGAAAATTAATCTCCAAATCATCCATAACGGCTAGAAACGGCCACAAACTCATTCCAACATATAAAAACAAGTTGAGGACACTTGGAGAAAGTTACCAACATCTATCCAAGCATTCATACACTAGAGAAGAGTTTTTTATTCTTATTTTCCTTTTTCTCGTAAATATTAGTGTTTTGTGAGCTTAAACTTTGTAAACACCTACCTTGTAAGGGTTTTCTTGTTTACATCTCTTATCCTTTTTAAATGGGTTTTGGTTCTATTTTAGCCAATTGAAAAACTAGGGAGTTGTAAAGATTATCTCTTTGTCCTGCAAAAAGAAATAACAAATTAGTGAATTTGTTAGAAAATCCTAAGTGGGGACCTTAGGTAGTGGATGTGCACTTGGTTGATAAGTCGAACCAATATAAATCCTTGTGCATCAATTTTCTTATCCTTAAATCTCCTTACTCCCTAAAAATTTCTCAAATCCACTTCAACCCCTCTTGGCAAATTATTCGGTTGTTCAATTGAGCTTCATCGAATATCTCAACAATTATAAAAACAAATTGAATTTAATAATTACAGAAATGAAAACTAAATTCCACATTGCAATTACCCATAGATAGAAAGATAATCAAATACAAGCTTTAATCAAAGAAGAAGGAATATAGAAGATCAACCGACCATATCTTTGACCGAACAAAGGCAATATTCTTACTCGATGATATTCTTGACGCACATTAATGGCCTCTGATTAAGAAAATATACCAATATCATCAACAATTAATTAGTCTAGTGGCACAAACCAGCTTATCTTAGTAGTTAAGAGAATTATTGTTATTTTTAGAGGTTACGGATAGTGGGATGAATAATTAGATTCCTTAAATAAGATCAAAAGTTCAAATCAAAACAATATCGATGAAAAATATTAACAATTACAAACCCATGAAGCGAAACCTCTAAACATTTCTTGCTCTATAACACTTTTTACGCACATCAATGACATCTGATTAAGAAAAAAGATCAATGTCACTAACAACTAGTTGGTCTAGTGGGAAGAGTCATTAAATCCCTTAAGCAAATTTAGGAGTTTAAGTCATAAAATTATCAATGAAAAAAAATAATAATTACAAACACATGAAGTGAAAACCCCCATCATTTCTTGCTCCATAACATTCTTGACGCACATCAATGACATCTAATTAAGAAAAAGGACCAATATCACTAACAACCAATTGGTCTAATGGGATATTGTTAAATCCCTTAAGTAAGGTCAAAAGTTCAAATCATAACATTATCAATGAAAAAAATTAATAATTACAAACCCATGAAATGAAACTGTCAACATTTCTTGCTCCATAACCATTCTTGATGCACACCAATTTGACATTTAAGAACAAGGACCAATTTCACCAATAATCAGTTGGTCTAGCGGGACGAATCATTAGATTCTTTAAATATTGTTAAGAGTTCAAATCATAACATTATCCATGAAAAAAATTTAATAATTACAAACCCATGAAGTGAAACCCTCGACATTTCTTGCTCCGTAATATTCTTGATGCACAATAATTTGACATCTGATTAAAAAAGAGGACTAATATCATAAAAAATTGATTTCCATTTATCTTAAATTAAATTGAATGAATCTATGAATAATGAGGACTAAATATATAAATATATAATTTTTGTTGATTTAATCGGCAACATTTACAAATAGCTAAATGATCTCCGCTTAACTACATGTACAAAAAAGCTACCATTCAGCACTTTGCTTCAGAGACTGGGATTTTTCAACGTTGATCTACGCTTCTCTTCTTTCTTTCGAAAATGGCGTCAAAATATCCATTTCTACACTTAAGTGGCACTCCTCTTCAGTGTTCGGAGTCCCCACCTTCAAATTCACGACTTTTCCGCCAAAATATCCATTTAATCTCATGGCTGAGCGCTTCATCTTCCCAACACTCCTCCTCATCGTCATCCTCAAGGTTGCTACCCCATAAAAGAACCCAAACTTTTCTCTCCCCTAACTGGTTGGACCAATACCCTAATTCTATCCGACCCATTACAGTTAAATCTCAGTTGAACTTGCCTCTCATTTCTCCCAACGACCAGTGGGGAACCTGGACTGTTCTCTTTGCTACAGGTGCCTTCGGCATATGGTACTCTCTCTCTCTCTAATCGAATTTCTACAAAATTTTAATTGCAGGAGGCAATGGGATTTTAATTTGTGGGTATTGTCGATGATTGTTTAATTAATTTAACTTGAAGGTCAGAGAAGACAAAGGTTGGGAGTGCACTGAGTGGTGCGCTAGTGAGTACTTTGATCGGACTTGCTGCTAGTAATTTGGGGTTAATTTCTTCTGATGCTAAAGCCTACTCCATTGTACTGGAATTTTTGCTCCCATTGGCTGTTCCATTGTTGTTGTTTCGAGCAGATTTGCGACGTGTCATTAAGTCAACAGGGAAGCTTTTCCTTGCTTTCTTGCTGGGATCAGGTCATTCCACTCCCACCAGTGATGCCCATTTCAATTTATTAATCTTATTTCTTGGGTTAATTTAACTTTCTTTTAGGGTCATTATTTTGGGTTAGGAGCTTTTGCTTTTTGTTTCTCTGCAATTCTTTGCTAGCAATTCTCCCTTATTTTTGGTCCCCAAATTTTGCGAAACAGTGGCTACAACAGTTGGAACAGCATTGGCATATCTGATAGTGCCGATGCGAGCACTTGGTGCAGATAGTTGGAAGATAGCTGCTGCTCTAATGGGTAGGCATATTGGTGGAGGTAATTTATTCTTACACTTGTTACAATCTTAATACATTTGTTTCCTTGTTTATATGAACTGATGAAGGTTATTTTCTGATGTTGTTCAGCTGTTAATTATGTTGCCATTTCAAATGCCCTCGATATTTCACCATCTGTTTTAGCTGCTGGACTGGCTGCAGACAATGTTATCTGTGCAGTATATTTTACAACACTATTTGCTTTGGCATCAAAAGTACCCCCTGAGACATCAACATCACCCGGAGGTCTGCAAAGCTCCTCATTTTGTGTCATTTAATCGATTAATCTCCTTGTCTACGTTACGAATATGTATTGGTTCTAACAATGAAGTTTTCTGCCTACATTTTATATTTTGGTTTTTCTCAGTTGTTTCCTCACTCTCTGCATCAAATGTAATTGCTGAATTCAGTAGAATGTTGTGGTTATGTTTCAATTTTTGTATAGTCTAATTAAAGTTGTTGAGACTTAAGCAGATGCTTCAACGGATGAGGGGTCTGTATCCGATGGAAAATTTCCCGTCCTGAAGATAGCAACAGCTATTGCGGTATCCTTTGCCATCTGCAAAATCGGTGCTTATCTTACGAAATATTTTGGCATTCAGGGAGGTAGCCTCCCTGCAGTTACAGCAATTGTTGTTATTTTGGCAACTGTATTTCCTACCAATTTTTCCTATCTTGCACCATCTGGGGAGGCTATGGCTGTAATTCTGATGCAGGTAAACCAATCTTTACCCGAAATACCCATTGGCTTTCCAACTCATAGTTATAGAAATCGCTCAACAGCCCACGATCTACGTACCGTACGATGCGATCCAAAACGCGGTACGATCATGTTCCAGTCGTTTCAAAATCGCGATTCGGTACGAGCTTTGGGTTTAGATGGAGTCCTGGCTCCTCGTCAGAGCGTAGGACGGCGGAAGTCATGGAGGCTTTAGGTTTCGTCGAGTGTTAAAGAGGAGCTTGAGGGAGAGGAAATGGAGGAACGATGGGGTCGGTTTAAGGCCGAAGAAGATAATGAATTAGGTTAAAAAATTTACCCTAAAAATCCCATATATTTGCCTAGTAGAACGGCGGCGTTTAGAATAGGGCCAAGCAACGTCGTTTTGAGTTTGGGGGAGATAAGCCGCATTTCAGGTGATTAGGGGGTTAATTGGTTGCGAGGTCTAGTACTTTTTAACCTATTTTGTTTTAGACCTTGAGTCAGTCTTTTCTGTTTTCTTAATTCTACTTTTCAATCCATCCTGCTTTGTTTACTGTGTACTTTACTTTTGTTGGCGCTTTGTTTCTTGTCTGGGAGCTGGACAACTGGATTTGTTTTCTTTTTTTTTTTCCTTCAACATAAATTATGGATTATTTATCTTCTGATTTTATCTTCTTGTCGTACCAATTTATATGTTACATCGTACCGGAGCGATCCGAAATGAGTCTACTTCCCTCGTACTAATTTTAGATACCTAGCGAATTGCGATCCCGTTCTACGTTCCCGTACCGGAACGTACCGCGATCCATGTGACTATGTTCCAACTATTCTTGTTGGTGTATGTTCAATTTTGGCAATGATACATATATGTTTTGTCCAGGTATTTTTCACTGTGGTGGGTGCAAGTGGAAACATATGGAGTGTCATCAAAACAGCACCCAGTATTTTCATGTTTGCTCTGGTTCAGATTTCCATTCATCTGGCTTTGATTCTGGGACTCGGGAAGCTGTTTGGTTTCGACTTAAAGCTCTTGCTTATAGCATCAAATGCCAACGTCGGAGGTCCTACGACAGCATGCGGAATGGCAACCGCCAAGGGGTGGAATTCTATGGTTATTCCAGGTATTCTTGCTGGCATTTTTGGAATTGCCATTGCTACTTTTCTTGGCTATGCCTTTGGAGTAAAAGTTCTGCAATACATGTAAAGACTTTTAATTCACTGATGCCAGAATTGGTGTCGGTTGTGTAACCTTTGTGAACTTGAAATAAATTCAGTTGCAAACTGTTCTACTTCTTTACACCAATAATATTATAAATAAATTAAATTAAGGGTAAAGTATAAAAATAGTCCCCAAACTTTTAGGGCACTTGCATTTTGGTCACCTAACTTTTGAAACTTGTAATACAATCGTTGAATTTTTAGTTTGTTTTCAGTAAGGTCCCTGTTGTTACCTCCCGTTAGTTTTAGTTGACGTGACACTTAACTCTCGTTAACCCCCATTCTTCTTTTCCTTCTCTCACCCCACCTCCTGTTATCCCACCTCCGGTCAGCGGTGGCTTACACACCATCACCATCGTCACTGCATCGCCTCCCAACCACACCCCGACCCTCGATTCATACTCACCATACAGCATTCGTCTCAAATTGCGAGAAGACCGTTCGAACACCTATCCTCGATCTCTGTGGTCAATCAACAGTGATCGTCACCGTTGATACTAGTAGGAGCGCCGCCCCATTTCGATCAAAACCCCACTAGCCACTTGCCGAGACTCACCTCTGATCACCGTGGAGAGAGCCCTGAATCTTGTCGGAAAACCCCAATGCCCATTTTTTGTTTTCATTGATTTTTGGTCGATTCAGTCGTCCGTTCGCCACACTGCCACCATCGTTGGAGTCCTCATGCCATTCCGACCAAAACCTAGTCGGTCGTGCCTCCTCCTCGTCCCTTCTCCGTCCGCCGTTGGTTAAAAAAGAGAAGACGACAAAGAAGGAGGAGGAGAAGAGGGGTTTAACGGCCGTTAAATACCACGTCAGCTAACCCTAACGGGAGATAATGACAGAGACCTTACTGAAAATGAACTAAAAGTTCGATGATTGTATTGCAAATTTCAAAAGTTGGGTGACCAAAATACAAGCGCTCTAAAAGCTCGGGGACTATTTATATATTTTACCCTTAAATTAATTGTAATAAATAAAAGGATTAAATGCACCATTGTCCCCTAAACTATATAGTTTTTACCAAATTGCCCCTTAAAATATTTTTCGAGACGTTTTGCCTCTTGAAATTTAAATAGTAGAATGCTATAAATCTGATCCCTCACGCAGTGCCACTGCTTGGTGTTTTGTTGGCGCAGTCGTGTTCTGAAATGTTATATCCTTGGAAGAACTCGTCCCCTACAGTAGCTGCAGTAATGTTTAAGATAATAGAAATTGTTAAAATTTCTAAATCTAAATTGTTTGAGATCTGGAGTTCCAGCGTCTTAGATGAACTTAGATGGCATGTTCAACTTTTCATTATTCATTCAAAATTTCAAACGGATTACTCACCGATAGTGGAAGAGTTGAAAGTGGTGCTGCCATCAATGACATTTCTGGTAGCAGTGATGCTTTGTGGTTCTCTATCTATATAAAGATTGCAACACATACACATATTGGCGATGAAGGAGGGAGAAGGGTGTCCAGATGAGAGAAACGAAGGGTGTCTATAGATATCGACATATTGGAACTCCTTGTTGTGAACTCCTCGTCGTGCACTGTCATGGATTCCCATGTCGAACGCTGAGTTCTGGTGCAATGAGTTTGTGGTATCAAAACACGACTCTCTTCTTCCTCACATGTTTAATGATGATTTTGAAAGAAAAAAAGTTGGATAACCAAAACGGAACTATTGGAATAGTTGAGTGATTAAATATATCATTTATCCTTGCTTTTTTAACGGAGTTAATGATTTGAGGCAAATGAGTTAACGATTTAAACTTCAAGGAATAAAAAGTCTAAGAAAATACGTTTAAGGGAGAACTTGGTAAAACCTATATAGTTTAAGGGGCAATGGTGCACTTAAGCCTAAATAAAATAAAGGATAAACTATGTATTTAGTCACCTAATTATTCCCGTGGTTCTGTTTTGGTTATTAAACTATTTTTTTTCAAAATCATTACTAAAGTTAAGTTTTGATTTCATTTTGGTCACTTGTTAAAAAAATAGAACTATCGACGTAATAGTTTTTTGGGTAATCTACGTGAATGACCACTTAACTATAAGGTTGGTGTTCATAGAATCACCGTTTTCAAAATTTTGTCAATATGACCACTTAAATATTTAATTGGTTTCAATGAAGCCACCTGCTGTAAATATTTAACGGAAGTGATGATGTGTTAATTAACAAAATTGGTATAATTATACATTTAATTTTTAATACTTTTGAGTTCAATCAATTGATCCTAATTTTAATTTAATTTAATAAATTAACCCTTCAATCATGAGGTAACATGTTAGCACTTGATTGGAGTTGAAATGTGTTTGGGGGAGGTTTGAACTTGTGCACCTAGGTTACCAAATGCTCCAATTGGTTTATTAATAACAACAAACTATATTTATCTTATAAGCTTGATAGAGAAATAAATAAAATTATTCAAATGAGGTTTCAAACTTAGGTCAATTATAAAATATAAGAAAACCTAAGATTTATATTTTAAATTAAATATATTATATTTTAAACCGTGTTGAATTTAAGATTTAAAATTAAAAATAAATTTAATATTTTTATATTTCTAAACTAAATTCAATTTAAAAAAAAATAAATATGAACTTGTAAAAAAGTATGGAAATATAATAATTGTATATAACTTTTTTATATATATTTTATAAAACTATGGCCAACCTAAGATTCATATTTTATAATTAAATACAATATACATATTTTAAATCATAAATATGTATTTAATGTAAGATTTAAAATTAAAAATAAGTTTAATTTTTAATTTAATTTTATATTTATATTTTTGTATATATGAAATTATAAAAATAACTACGAGAAAATTATTGAATTTAGTTAAACATATAAAAATATTAAATTTTTTATTTTAAAATTTTCATTAGATATAGTTTAAAATATTTATAATGTATTTAATTATAAAATAATATTATATTTGTTTAACTAGTTTAGATTTTATTATATTTTATAATTGACCTAGGTTCAAAACCTCATTTAAATGATTTTATTTCTTTATTTTTCTATCATTAACAATATTATAATATGAAAAAAAGTTTGTTGTAATTAATTAATCAATTGAAGCACTTGGTTTAGTGGTTTGGGTTCTCCATTCACAGTCTAGGGGCATAGGTTCAAAACTCCCCAATTGTATTTCATTCTAGTTTATTTTCAATCAGATGGTAACACATGTCACCTCTTATTTGATGAAGGGTTAATTTATTAAATTAAAATTAGGACCTAATTAATTAAATGTAAAAGTATTAAAGATCAAATGTATAATTATACCAAATTTGTTAATTGACACACCAACACTTCTGCTAAATATTAACGAAATATTATACCTGTATATACATGATGAAGAAGTAACCTAGGGTTTTCTTATATATTATTATAAATTTAAAAATAAATCAAATCGAATGGGGTGATTAAAACGGAACAAAAACTTAAGTTTAGTGATGATTTTGAAAAAAAATATCTTGGTGACCAGAATAAAACCATACAAATAGTTGATTGACTAAATATGTAATTTACCCTTGTGTTGTTAAATAGAGTTAACGATTTGAGGTAATTGAGATAACGATTTAAATTTCAGAGTGTAAAATGTGTCAAAAAATACTTTAAGGGGCAACTCAGTATAAACTGTATAATTTAGGGGGCTAGAGTATTTAAACCTTATTCTTTTTAGGTTTAATGGTTTATAAGGTCCTCATACTTTTTTTAAAAAAATCATTCTAACACTTGAACTTATTTTATATCTAATGTGACATTTAAATCGAGAAAAATATTAATGTGGCTCTTTAACCAACGAAAATCGTTATTGTATGTTACATTGTTAACATGTTAATTCACTGTGATGATATGTCGATTCACGGTATTGACATGACAATCTACTTGTAAATGATGACATAACAAAAGAGTTTAATTAATTTTTTTTAAAAGTTCAAGGCTTAATTTATTCTTTTATGAACATCAAGAGCTTATTTAATCCTTAAGTAAAAATTATAAATTAAGAAAATATTAAAAAATACTTTTATGCTCCACTAAAATTTCCCTTATTAACTTTTTTTGTCAAAACTTTTAAATTTAACTTTTATTATTTAAAATTTATTTTAAAAATATATATTTTAAAAAAATTAATTATTAAAAATATTAAAAATAATTATTACCAAAGTTTACAAAGTTTAATTACCAAAGTAGTCAATAAGGAATACCTTTTTTTTTCAGAAGTTTGAAGGCCAAGCCTAAATTTTCACCATTTTACCTCCAATATATCGTTAAACAACTTCTTACTTGTATAATGTGGAGTAGTAAGATCTAGAAACATTTTTAGTTGCTGATTGAAAATTGTATGAAGAAGGTGTGTAATAGAAAAATATTAAAAAAATTAATATTTTAAATTATATTCAATAAAAAATATTAATTTATTTTTAATATCTTCGATTACGTATTTCGTTAGTCTTAAACTAATATGAAATCCCTTTGACATTCTCTAAAAAAAATTCTTTCTTCCCTCGCTCCCTCCCCTTCCTCTCGTACGTATTATCAGTACTATCATTTACAGAGTTGAAGTCAAGTGTGTACTAAGCACAATCCCTATTTATTAAAAAACATTTTTTAGTACTAATAAAATGTGCTGCCTCTTCCTTATCATAAGAGCCATCATTTCATGAAAACAGCTGTTGACTTTGTAGAACTTCAAATTCTTTTTTATTTAGTCGAAAAGAGAACCCTTCATATCCAAAATAATTAAAGAGGAAAATATACATTTTTGATACTAGTGGGTGATGTAGATGCATGCATGCTTCATGCTGTTTTTTCTTTAAGCCCTTTAATTTTAGAATATATATATATAGCAACAACAACAGCAACAAAACTAAAGGATATTTCCTGAGAGCTTGCAAGTAGAGTGAGAGAGAGAGAGAGAAGAAGAAGAAGAATGAAGATGAGCAGCAACGTAAAAGCAATGGTGAGGGTGATTTTCCTAGTGGCATTCATTGGGTGGTTGATGATTTGGGTTATGTTGCCAACAAAACTTTACAAAAACAAATGGACACCCAACCTAGAAACCAAGCTCAGTTCTACTTACTTTGGTGGACAAGGTGAGCTTTTTGCCTTTCTTCCTTATTTGAATCTTGTCTGCTTGCATGGCGTTTGCACCCTTTGTTAATTCATCTCATCACTTTGAGCTTTACCAGGGGCAAACCTATTGCTTTTTTCTTTCCCCGTCATGTTCATAGCTGCTTTTGGTTGCGCTTATCTCCATTTTCAAAACAGATCCACACACTTTAATCACTCCAAAAGGTAGGATTTCATCTTATCTTATGAATTTGGTGTATTATCTTATGAATTCATATGATTCATACTGTATGTCTGGGTCACACACAGTGCTACCGCCTTGTTGAAACGACCGGTGCTGGTAACGGCTCCCGTCGGAATCGTTTCGGCACTGGAGCTAACTTTTGCGGCCATGTTTGTGGCTCTCTTGATCTGGTCCCTTGCAAATTACTTATACGTTAGCTTTGGACACCTCCACATGCATAAACAAGGCGAGAAAATGTATGTACGATACTTGTTTTATTTTAAATGATTTCAATTAGTAGACAGCCTTATGTTTGATGGTAAATTAACAGATGGGAAGCTAAATTCCGAAGTGTATCATTAAGGCTTGGGTACATAGGGAACATATGCTGGGCATTCCTCTTCTTCCCTGTAACAAGAGGATCAACACTGTTGCCTCTAGTTGGACTGACATCAGAGTCGAGCATCAAGTACCATATTTGGCTTGGACATGTCTCTAACATCCTTTTTGCTGCTCATACTATTGGTTTCATTATCTACTGGGCCATCACTGATCAGATGGTTGAGGTATAATCTGCATCAACTCATTCTTTCTTAATTCATTATGTTTTGTAGTTAATTATTATTGCCATTCAATCCTCATAATAAGCAATTCTATGCAGCGAAATGAAAGGTGTGGGATCACTCTATTATCTTCTTTTTTGTGTCGTCTTCTTTGTCGGAATGTGTATGTATGTAGTGTTGTTTGAGAGTGGGAAGAGATACATAAAGGTGGGGTTTATATTCCTTTGCTCGTCCTTTCTTTTTCACCTCTAAGAAAAAAAGTAAAGGATAAGATCATTGAGTGGTTCATTTCGTATAGTGTATTGATACAGCATTGTCTTTTTGTTGTTTATCAGGGTTTCTTATATTCCATTTCTTTACACTTAAACAAGTCTTCTAATGCTATCTATTTGTATTTCAATCACAAATACATGAGAGAAAAAAATAAAATTATATGATAATTTAATTTTTTTTAAATTAACAGACTACATTGTCTCTTCGGTCCATCTTGCTGATTAACGTTCAAGTGGATAGGCAGTTTTATTAGGAGTTATGTTACGAGTATTTTGTTTTAGTTTTAATAAATTATTAACTTATCAACAAGAAGTTGGTCTAGTGGGTGAGGTACCATATTTCTTAAGTAAAGATAGAGGTTCGAATCTTAGTGTTTGCGAGTGAAGTAAATTAAGTTGGGACAATCACCCCCATAACCCATAACTAGAGATGGGCACGAGACCCGAACCCGACGGGTTCCGACTTGATCGGGTCAAATTTTTTTATAAAAGAAATTTGGATTCAGGTCGGGTCGGGTTACGTTCGGATTTAGGGTGAAAAATACCCGACACAACCTAATCCGAAAAAAATAATTTTACCTTATATTTAGGGATAATTATAATAATACCCATCTATATATTTTTTTCTAATTAAATCCCTATTTTTATTGAATAAAAATAATATTTTTAATAAATATATTATTTCGGGTCGAGTCGAGTTCAAATTTTATCTCAAAAAAGTCGGATCGGGTTCGGGCCGAGTGGATGGTGTATATTTTTCGGGTCGGGTGGAAGATGTATAATTTTTGAATCTGACCGAAAACCTAACCCGTGCCCATCCCTACCCATAACTGGCTTCAACAAAACTCAATCTAAATTTATTAGTCAATAGATTAAATACCCATTTTAATTAAAAAATTATTAACATTACAGCATCTTATGTTTATTAATAACATTAGCAAGTAATTATATGTACTCTATGAAAATAATTAAATTTTTTTTTAAATATATATAATTAAATTAAAAATAAAATTTCATATGTTTAAGTAAATCAAAACCAAATTTTCATGAATACAATTAAACATTCAATAGTAAAGAACCAAATTTCACATTGGATCAAAGTTATGTATGGTTTTGAGATTTACCAAGCAAAAATATAATATATGTATGTGTATATGTTGGGTGTGCAGATTCTGGAATGGAGCAAAACTTGGGTATCAAATGTAGCTGGAGTTATTGCAATTGTAATTGCAGTACCGATGTGGGTGACAAGCTTACCTCATTTTAGACGAAAGAAGTTTGAGCTTTTCTTCTACACACACCATCTCTACCTTCTCTACATCATCTTCTACGTGCTGCATGTTGGCGATGCTTATTTCTGCATGATCCTTCCTGGTATCTTCCTTTTCCTCATTGATCGATACTTAAGATTCTTACAATCCCGACAACGAACCAGATTGTTGTCTGCATGTGTCTTGCCATGTGGCGTTGTTGAACTCAACTTCTCCAAGACACCAGGTAACTATGACTATCCTGCAACTACTACATTAATGGTTAATTCTGCAAATTACATTAATGTCTTAATTCTTTTGTTTGCACCTCTCCCAGGATTGTATTATAATCCGACCAGCATCTTGTTTGTAAATGTGCCTAGAATTTCGAAGCTGCAGTGGCATCCTTTTACAGTATCTTCCAATTGCAATATGGAGGACGATCAGCTCAGCGTGGTGATCAAAACGCAAGGGACGTGGTCTCACAAGCTTTATCGAGAGATCACTTCATCTTTGGATCATCTTCAAGTCTCAACTGAAGGACCCTATGGCCCTAATTCATCTCATTTTCTCATGTCAGTAAATAGCTTTTGATCCAAACATCAGTTTGTCGTTTTTTCATTGATAACTTTAATTTGTGTTATTAAACTATGTGTAGGCATGAGTGTCTGGTTTTGGTGTCCGGAGGCAGTGGCATTACTCCCTTTATCTCCATAATCCGAGAGATAATTTTCCAAAACCAGAAGCCAAATTTCAGGGTTCCACGAGTTGTTATGATCTGTGCCTTTAAGAACTCGGCAGACCTTGCAATCCTAGATCTTCTGGTTCCAATATCGGGTAATCCTTCACAAATAACCCAGATTCAATTGCAGATTCAAGCATACATCACTCGAGAGAAAGAGCAGCCGAAGGCTGAAACCCAGAAACCTGTTCAAACAATTTGGTTCAAGCCAGGCCCCTTTGATTCACCCATTGCTGCAACACTAGGCCCCAACAATTGGCTATGGCTTGGGGCAATAATCTCGTCATCATTCGTTATGTTCCTTCTTCTTTTGGGCATTGTCACTCGTTACTACATATACCCCATTGATCACAATACTGATCAAATCTACCATTTCTCTTATAGAGCACTTTGGGATATGTTTCTCGTTTGTGTTTGCGTCTTCATTGTTTCTAGTGCAGTTTTCGTCTGGTGCAAGAAACAAAATACAAGGGAAGGGAACCAAATCCAGAACACTGAAATAGCAACGCCAATAACATCACCAGGGGCGCCATGGTTTTCTGGTGCTGACGATAGAGAGCTCGAAAGCCTTCCCCATCAGTGCCTCGTCCAAGCAACCGAGATCTGTTTTGGTTCAAGACCTGATTTCAAGAGTGAGCATGCTAACTGAGACTACCATGTTATATTATAACAATGACATTCATGTATACGAATAAAATTATCAGTGAACTGATGGTTCATCTCGATGTTGCAGAAATACTATTCGACTTAAAGGAATCTGATGTAGGAGTTCTTGCATGTGGACCGAGGAAGATGCGGCACGATGTTGCTAAAATTTGTGCATCTGGATTAGCTCCAAACCTTCACTTTGAGTCCATTAGCTTCACCTTATGATGAATATCTGTATACATTATTTGCTCAATGCTAGAGGTGGATTATGTAAAATATAATTCTGCGAAGAAAAATACAGTTATTAACTTATTATTATATAGATTATTATTGTTGCTGCTGCTTCTACTACAAAAGACATTTTTACAGTTACATCATAAGTCATTTTCAAGTATTGTAACTCCTTTTCCTCTGGTGTAGATTCCAATGTAAGTTTTGTTCTAAACATAATGGCAAGATTAAGACAAAAGCTTCGCACAAAAGCAGAAGAAGACAAATCAAAAGGAATTTAATGGCGCAAGAGATGCAGATGCAGTCCATCAAGACACAAAAATATATAAAACCAGCAACTAATTCACCCCAAAGTTTGGATAAGGGAATATACATTTCAAGTTTTGACCAACTTTGTATAAAAAAATTGTGGAATAAATGTTCAAGAAAAATTGTGGAATATACATTTCAAGTTTGCATCGAGGGAGCTGTACTGGAATGAACCTTGAACTCATGGCATTGATAATGAGCAGAATTAGAAGTCAGCGAGCATAACAGCACGTCCTGCTCAAGTTAATATAATTTTGTTTTATGCAATATTCATAGTTTATATAAGGCTATAATGATTGCTTCAAAATAGGATAATAAGGCAGTGCAAAAGGAGAGGCTCAGAAATATTCAAAGGTTGTGGAAAGGTTAATGTAATGATGATGGTTAGATCAGCAATGAAGCTGTTTCTACTGCTGCTCTTCCTTGGGTACATGGTGCTATGGTTCATAACGCCCACCAAGTTATATTTTCAACATTGGTTGCCTGAAATCCGTTCCAAAACAAAATCCACGTACTTTGGACCACAAGGTATCAACCTACTTCATAATATTACAGTTTCATTTCAATTTTTCCCCAACTTGAGGCATGTGTATCTATAGGTTCAACTATGCTGATTTACACATTTCCCATCCTCTTCATTGCTACAATGGGTTGTATTTACCTTCACTTGGGAAAGAAACATGGAGATGAAGGCGTCGATAGGTAAATATATAGATATCATCAATATTCGATGCTTCCTTTTTTTTACCTTCTGGTAGAATAGTTTAATAAGCTGCTTCTGATGGTAACAGAAGGGTCCAAACATCTAAGTTTACCAATTTGAAGCAACCGGTGCTGGTAAAAGGTCCTTTGGGTATCGTTTCATGGATGGAGCTGTCATTTTTAACCATGATTATTGTGCTTGTCGTAACTGGTTTTCGTCCGGACACGAATTTTTTACTTGGCGGGAAAAGTGGTGTGAATAAATGGTTTTAAAATGTTTTGGGAGTCGACATCAGCCTTTTGGGTCAGGTAGGTCGAATACCTAAAAATTATCTTTTAAAAGAGTTTTTAAGAAAACATCAGTTAAAAGATAAACTAGTATGCGTTTTAACCAAAAATTTTTTATTTTTAATAATAAAAAAGGGATTCATGTCGATTACGTTTGGGGAAGGATTAGCACCCCACAATGTCCAAAATTAGTACTTATTAATTATAAATTGTCTCTATTATTGGAAAATTAAAAAATTAAAAAATATATTTAATTCATAATCATGTTATTTCAAATTTATTAATATAATTTTAAGAAAATCTATTAATTTATATATAAATAAGATATTTATTTATTTAGAAATATCATAAAAGGACTTCTAGGTGCTTTAAGACAGCTCTTTTCTTAATATTAAAAAGTAAATAAATAATAAAACATTTATCTAAAAATAATATAAAAAATAGATTAATATATATATATATATAATTTATAAAATTAAAATATTTATTTATTTAAAAATTTCAAAAAATAGACATCCAGTTGCTTTAAGACTGCCCTTCTTATATTGAAAATAAATATATTAAAAATATATTTTTATTTAAAAGCAATTTATAAAATTAGATTTATAAATAGGATTTTAATAGAAAAAACAACTAAATTAAATAAATAAATATGACTAAATAATAATACTAATTAAATATATTGAAAACATATTAAGATATATTTAAACAATAACTAAAATAAATGAAATTAAAACTATAATATTGAAATATAAACAATAATAAAATTGGTAATTATATGAAAGTAGTGATTAAATTATAACATATAAAACTTAAATACCCTAATTAGTAATTAATTATTTAAAGTTACAGGGATTAAACGTGTTATTTTACATATTTATTTACTTGGGGAATAAAATAAAATTATATGAAATTCGAATATCAAATTATAATAAATAAAAACATGCTATAAGGATCAAATTGCAAGTTTTTAAAGTTACAGTGGCTGCAGGAATAATTTAGCCGTGTGTGAAATTACACAAAGGCCCTTACCAAAACTACGTCGTTTTGGTGAGGGTATTTATACCCAATTATAACCGGCCTTAAGGCCAAATTCTCTCATTTTCTCATTTCATCTTCTCTCTCTAAAACCGAGAGAAGCATTCTCTTTGCCTTCTCTCTAGGATTCCCTCACCGGAGGGAATCTGGTCGTCGGCCGGCAGCCGACTGCTGCCGTTGACCTCCGCCGTCGGTCACCGCCTCCGGTGGTTGAAAAATACAAAATTTATACCAAAATTTAGATCGGACCGTCCGAATCATGAATCCGGTGACATTTTCCCTTAAAAAGCTCCCAATCGGAGCAAATCTATGAAAGTACCTTCGATTTTCGAAGGCTTTTGGTGGCGGGTGAAAGAGCGTGAACTCCGGTGGCGTCACAGCTTCCTCGGTAATATTTCTCTTAATTTTTCTCTCGGTATTTTAGTGGTATTTGGTTGCTATGTTGTTTGTGGTTCTCTCTGTCTTGCTCCCTATTTTCTGATTGATCTCCTTGTCTCTTTTTTTTCTTTTGTAGGTTCGGTTGATGGTCTTATAACCATCATCGGCGCTCGTCTCGGACCGGGTAAAAGAGTGGCAGTTTGGTGAGTCACCGAACTTGTGGTGACTCACCAAAAAATGGGGACACATGTGCGGTTGTTGTTGTAACAGCAAAGCTTCTGGAGTCTCCTGTTGGCGCCGTGGCAGTGGGTGGAGCGACTGGACGTAGAGGCGGCATCGCGTGGCCCTAGGGTATCATAACCCTAGGGTTTCTGCTGGGACCATCTGGACCGTTGGATCTAAGTCAGATCCAACGGCTGGCAAGAAGAGCTACGGCTGGGATGAAGATGAAAACTCTAATCTAATTTAGGGTTCTACTGTTAGGCCGATGGGGTTTCTTGTACTGGGTCAGTCCAGTTTTGATTGGGCCTATTTATAATAGTAATTTTTTTATTATTAATAATAATAATTATTATTATTATAAAATAATAATAATAGTAATAAATAAAATAATAATAACAATAATAATAATGACAATAAATGGATGAAAAATTAGTATCTTCAGCTGCCCCTCTTTGCTCATTCTTGTGTTAACAAGAATAGTGCAAATACGAAAAGATAATAAGTTTTTTATCCATTTGACTTCACTTGATTATGATGGAAATGTTGAACAAGTTCTTCTTATTATGAACTCTTCCATTTTTCCACTGGGATGACAATTTATCTTCTTCTGTGATAAGATCTAGCAAAGAGTTGAACAAATTCTTCTTTTTCAGATGAGTTCTTCTCATTATGAATTCGTTCTGGAAACGCTAATCTTCAAAAGAGGTATTGTTGATTCAATTTCAATATGTGATGAATCAAATTAAGGTTGAACAAGTTATTCTCATTATGAACTTCTTATTCCTTCTTCAGATGAGTTCTTCTTATTATGAACTTCCTCTGGAACAGTTGATCCATCGAATGATGAATTCAATCAAAAAGTTAAACAAGTTCTTCTCATTATGAACTTTTTCTTCCTTATTCAGATGAGTTCTTCTCATTATGAACTTTCTCTGGAACAGTTGATCCATCGAATGATGAATTCAAGCAAAAGGTTAAACAAGTTCTTCTCATTATGAACTTCTTCTTCCTTCTTCAGATGAGTTCTTCTCATTATGAACTTCCTCTGGAATCAGTTGATCAATCGAATGATGAATTCAAGCAAAAGGTTAACAAGTTCTTCTCATTATGAACTTCTTCTTCTTTCTTCAGATGAGTTCTTCTTATTATGAACTTCCTCTGGAACAGTTGATCCATCGAATGATGAATTCAAGCAAAAGGTTAAACAAGTTCTTCTCATTATGAACTTCCTCTGGAATCAGTTGATCCATCGAATGATGAATTCAAGCAAAAGGTTAAACAAGTTCTTCTCTTTATGAACTTCTTCTTCCTTCTTCAGATGAGTTCTTCTTATTATGAACTTCCTCTGGAACAGTTAATCCATCGAATGATGAATTAAAGCAAAAGGTTAAACAAGTTCTTCTCATTATGAACTTTTTTTTCCTTATTCAGATGAGTTCTTCTTATTATGAACTTCCTCTGGAACAGTTGATCCATAGAATGATGAATTCAACCAAAAGGTTAAACAAGTTCTGCTCATTATGAACTTCTTATTCCTTCTTCAGATGAGTTCTTATTATGAACTTTCTCTAGAACAGTTGATCCATCGAATGATGAATTCAAGCAAAAGGTTAAACAAGTTCTTCTCATTATGAACTTCTTCTTACTTCTTCAGATGAGTTCTTCTTATTATGTACTTCCTCTGGAACAGTTGATCCATCAAATGATGAATTCAAATTTTTGCTAAAATCTTTAAAATTCCTGTCAAATATTTAACATGGATAAAATGAATGAAAATGCACCTATTTTGCAAATGTCTAAATATGATGCATAAATGTTAAGTTCATCTTTATTTGATTTTAAAGTGGTGAACTTGTTCTTTCTTCGGTTGTGTAGAAATCCAATAAATGTTTTTTCTTTGAATAGAGAATCTATCATCTTTGGAGATTGTAGATGTAGATATGCCTGAATTTTTGTATGATGTCAAAAAACCACTTGAGAACAAAACTCAATGGTATAGGCTCTTGAAAAGTCCACACTCATGCAATATGTTGATTCTGATAACTACTCATCTGATTATGAAGTGATCTTTCAGGATGATTTCACAGATATTGATAGTTCTTCTGATACTG